AACTATGCAAAGGCTTTTGACTGTGTGGATCACAACAAGCTATGGCTGACTCTGAGAAAAATGGGAACTCCAGAACATTTGATTGTGCTTATACGAAACCTATGGTTGGACCAAGACACAGTCATCAGAACAGAGGAAGGGGACACTGCATGGTTCAAAATTGGGAAGGAGGTCTGCCAGGGATGTATTCTGTTTCCATACCTTTTCAATCTGTATACAGATCATTCAGGAGACTGGGCTTTATGTTAAGGAATGTGGTATCCAGATTGGAGGAAGACTCATATGCAGATTACACAACCTTGCTTGCTGAAATGGAAAAGGACCTGAAGTGCTTGCTGTAGAAGGTCAAGGACTGTAGTCTTCAGTATGGATTGAAGTTCAACATCAGGAAGACAAAGATTTTCACCAATTAGCAGCACCACGATAGATGGAAAAGAGATTGATGGTGTTAACAATTTCAGCTTGCTCAGCTCCACAATCAACAACACTCTTGGCACCAGCAGTCAGGAAATCAAAGGGTGTATTGCACTGGGAAAATCTGCTGTCAGGGACTTCTCCAGAGTACTGAGAAGCAACAATGTTAGTCTAGAGACTAAGGTGTGCCTGATCCAGGCCATAGTCTTCATAATTATTTGCTCTGCATCTGAGAACTAGACAATGATGAAGCATGACAGAGGAAGAATCGATGCCTTTGAGTTGTGGTGTTGGAGTAGAGTACTGAACATACCACGGACCACCAAGAAAGCAAACAGATGTGTCGTGGAGAGTGAAATAAAATCTTTTCTTGGAGGTAAGGATTTTGAAGCTCTGTCCCACATACTTTGGGCACATGGCCAGGAGGGAGCAGCCCTTGGAGAAAGATATGCTTGGAAGGGTGGAGGGACAGTGCAGGAGAGGAAGACCCCATATGAGATGGATTGACGGAGTAACTAAAGTAATGGAGATAGGTGTGTTGGAGTGAGTGAAACTGGCTCAGGATAGGATAGGATTTAGAGCTGTTGTATATAGATAGGGTCGCTATCTCAGGTGACTTGATGGCACATAACAACAACTACAGAACATTTTTTCATTCCTTTAAATAACACTGTTTTCTTCTTTCTTACTCCACTCATAAGGGCAGGGAGTTATCTGTCTTAGTCTGGTTTTATATTCTCAGTTCTTGACTCAGAATCAATATTCAATAAATGTGTTGAATTTACAGAATGAGGGGATGAGTTTTTCTGATTAATTAATTTAGATTAGAAAGGTGAAGCCTAGAGAAGTAAAGAAAGTTAGTGATGTATTTAAGAGTGCATAGTTCATTATTGAAAAAGTTAGGATTACAACCAGGTTATCTAACTAAATATCAGAGAGCTGGACAATGACTAAGGATGACAGAAGAAGAATTGATGCCTTTGAGTTGTGGTGCTGGAGAAGAGTATTGAACTTTTGCACTGTTAAAAGAATGAACATCTTTATTCTGGAGAGAATGAAACCAAGTTCCTTCTTGAAGACAAGGATTTTGAAGCTCTGTCTCAGATACTTTGGGCATGTTGCCAGAACAGATCAGTCCTTGGAGGACATCATGCTTGGAAAGATGGAGGGACAGCACAAGAGAGGAAGACCCCGGAGGAGATTCAGTAACTGGTGTAATGGTAGGGGGTCTCAGAGACAGTGAGACTGGCTCAAGATAGGACAAGGTTTAAGAGCTATTGTGCATAGGGTTGCTACGAGTCGCAAGCAATTTGTTGACACATAACAACAATAATCTAAATCCATGACATCCAGGTAGAAAGGCAGGAGATAGGTGGGACAGTAGGGAGGTGGGAGAACCTAAGTCTAGGAGCTAGGCTGGTGGTGGCAGGGAAATGGGACAGGATGAGAAGGAGGAAGTTTCTAGAATAGAAAGATACAAAGTAGCCATGGTAGCAGAGTGCTTACCCTCTGCCAAATGGGAGGAAGACGACTAGTTACTCCTTTGAAAAAAGATGTGACAGTCTGCTTCTGTAAAAATTGCTGCTGTTGTTGTTATGCACTGTCAGGTCGAGTATGACCCATAGAGACCCTATGAACAAAGCATCTGAACCCTGTCCTATCCTGTGCCATCCATATACTTCCTGACACATTAGAGCCCATTGCATCAGACATCATGTCAGTCCATTTGGTCAAAGGTTTTCCTCTCTTTCACTGACCCTCTATCTTTCCTAACATCATGTCCGTCTCCAAGGAACAGCCTGTCCCTCCTCGCAACATGCCCAAAGTATATGAGGCAAAGCCTCATCAACCTGACTCCAAAGAGCATTCTGGCTGCATCCTCTCCAGGACATATCTGTTGGTTCTTTTGACAGCTCATGGGATGTTCTGTGCTCTTCTCCAACATCGCAGCTCAAAGGCATCGATTCTTTTGCCATCTTTATTCATTGTCCAGCTCCCAGAGAGTCATACAGTCTTTTGCTTAGCAGCTGCGTACATTAACTGTTGCCATCATCCAGAGATTCCCGTGCCTATAGTACAGATTGTAAATCAGACGCCAAAGGACACAACAGAACTGCCTCATAGGATTTCCCAGGCCATAATTTTTATAGTTCCAGTTACTGGTCTGACTGAGGCCATGGTCTTTCCAATCACTTGTTATGTATGTTGCTTTTGAGAAAGGGAGAGCAGTCAGAGGTGGGCCGAGTGGGGAGATAATCACTTCAGGTTCACCTTCAGGCACTTTGGAGTCAGAAGTGACAATAGGTCACGTTCTGCTTTTCTGGATTTCAAACTATGGAGAAGAAGTGGGAGTGGATGGGTCAGATCAGAGTCCAGTATGGACGAGCGGTGGTGGGAAGCATTCCCAACTTCTCTCCTTCCCTGTAGTCAAACACTCCTTCCCCCTTGTCTGTACACAAACCCACGATCACTCTGCAGCCCAGATGTTCCAGGGCAAGCCTCAATTAAAATTCAGTGCCCTTTGTCCCCATGCCTGTGGCTCTTGATTTTGCTTTGAAAAATAAGGTCACTGGGGCCCAGGATTCAGAGCCTGCCCTCCACTAGGCCAGTTTCTGTTCAGGCAGTGGGCTGTATAAGGTGTTCTTTGTGCTGAGGCAGTGTTAGTGTTGGAGATAGCATGCCAACCAGTGCTGGTCCCAGACCACAGAATCCAGACAGCCTGCTGCAGGTGCAGAATTAAGGTGATACAGGCAGTCCCTGGGTTACATATAACACATTTAGATATATCTCCCAGTCAGGAAATGCTCCATGCCCTCCAAAAGCCTGTTGTTGTTGTTACGTGTCATTGAGTCGCTTGCGACTCATGGCGACCTTATGTACAACAGCCCTAAACCATGCTCTGTCCTGTGCCAATCTCACTGTCTCTGACACACTCACCCCGATTATTACCCCAGTCATTGAATCAATCCACCCCCTATCACTTGGAAAATTCAAATATCATACAATGGATTATAGCAAAAAAACTGGTGCTACTTTGGGATACACAATAAAACATTATTATTATTATAACTGCATTATTATGTTAAAAAATTGAATGCATGTATATCATGTTGTCATAGAGATTAGTTGGCCTAGTGGAGAGAAAGGGATGCTACCAAGCCAAAGGTGGGTGACTTCTAATTCATGGCCCTTAGGCCTGTGTGTCATTGCTTTTGTTCAAACATTCTTCTAGGTCATATAGCCCTGGTGTGTCCACTTGCCATACAGAGGTAACCAATGGTTGCTGTGAAGCTGAACACTGTGACACTGATGTATCAAATGTGATAATGGCTACCCACGGTGGACAGTGTTTGGTGGCACTCCCCGATTAAAACAAGTTTGGAAGGAGGAGTGGCATCTACTTCTGTAATAGCTTGCCTGTGGAAACCCTATGAACCTGGAGAAAGGATGAAAGTCACATAAGTGTTGAGGACTTTTGTTCATAGGGTCGCTATGAGTCGCCTACGACTGATGGCACTTAACAAATAATTGACTAACTGATATTAGATGTGAACTGGACCTATTTCAATTTACAAATTCTATTTAAGGACAGATTTAGGAACAGACCCATTCCTAATCTGAGGACTGCCTGTATTAGAGACAAGACTCACTCTCATCCTAAAGCCTCCCCTCACATTACTCTACTGGCTAAAAAGGGCTTTCATAAACAAACCTAGTCTTAGAGCTCCTCCCGCCCTCTACCCAGGGGGGCTTCAGGAGGGTCTGGGCCGCCTGCCAGCCCCAGGCCATCCCTAGACTTCCGTGGGGGGTGGGGAGTCGGTCTTCTTACTCTTCCTGTTTGGTCTCCTGCTCACGGTTTTTCTCGGGCTTCAGCCTCCACGGGCTCCCCACCCAGCTCCGCCTTAACCCTTTCCTCCTAGGACTGGTGCACTCAGAGAGGGAAGGGTTGGTGAGGTCAGGGGGTGGACTTCACTTGGGAGGGCCTGGGAAGCGGAGGGGGAGAGGGCTGCCCTAAACACAGAAAAGGTTCCTGGGACGCCTAATCCTCATACTCCCAAATCTGAGTGCTCCTATCCTTCACCTCGTCCTTCCACTGGGAATGGAAATTGTGGAAAGAAATTAACTTTCACTCCAGCTCTCTGGCGCTGGGCCCCAAACTTGGGTGGAAAGCAGAGGTTTCCAGAACCCCACCACGCCCCCTCCTCCTCTCGCCCGCCCCCTCCCTCCGCCTCCCGCGAGGGGTAAAGCTACCCCGAGACAGAAAGAGTTTATCCAGGAGGGGCCTTGGGCTGCGGCGGAACGCAGGCGAGGGGCGGAGGCAAGGGTGGTGGGAGCCAGGCGGTCCCACCCCCAGCCACAACCCTTGGCAGGAAGAGATTGCTCGGGAGCCGCAGCCGAGAGGGTCCGAGCCGGAGGGCGGGGGCCAGAGCCATGGCCAGTGGGTCGGAAAGCCGGGAGGAAGGAGGCCGCGGGGGAAGCGCAGGAGGGAGGTGGGGGCGTGGTGGGGGCCCGGCGGGCTGGGCTCGTGACACCTTCTGCTCCGCTTGACACTGCTCTCCCTTCCACCAGGGCCGGGTGGGACAAACATGCTCCTGTCTAGAGGCGACCCTCCGACGCAAGAATGGTTCAAGGTGCAAACAAAATCGAAGCCGCGGGTGCAGCGTCAGCGGCTGCAAGTGCAGCGCATCTTCAGAGTCAGGCTCAAAGCCTTCCAGAGCCGCCCGGACACCCCCTACTTCTGGCTGCAGCTCGAGGGGCCCCGGGAGAACACGAGCAAAGCCAAGGTAACTCGCTTCTCCCCACACCCCGCCCTGCCAGCTGCCAGCCAGTGTCCTCTCTCCGCCTCTCCTCAGGGACAGTGGTCCCCACAGGTCCTCTGACCTGGATTCGACAGTGTGGCCGGCAGGTACTGGGCCGTCCACTCTTTGGTCTTTCCCGATCTGATCTGCAGCATTCGTTTCTCCCGCCTGGTTTCTTCTTTCTTTGCTGCCCCACCCCTCTTACAGGTCTCTCATGCGAAGAGACTCTCCTCATAAACCCCGTGCATCCACAGCCCACTCCTCTATGGGGGGACTAATTTAAGGTACTGCTTTTCGGTGACTTCTAGAAACACACTTCTTTGTTAGCCAAGACCTTGGCAGGCCTAGGCCATTCTGTTGCTTTTAAACACAGGAACAACAAAATTCCAACCGAACTCATTTTCAGGATCAGTTAGTGACCCTGAAAATACTAATGCGAGGAGAGATCCACCTTTCCGCCGGGAGCAGCGAACACGCAGCTTTCTGGTTATCAGCGCCATAGGCAGCATACAGAGTTCGCTGCCAGGGCTCTCTTTTAAGTCTTCTTCAATGATCCGTTGCCTTTTGGAGCCACTCAGAGTGTTGGAGCTTGAGGGGGGCCTTAGAAACTCTTCTAGAGTAGCCCTGCCTTTTATACGGGAAAGGAGAGGAAGGGGCTTGTCTGAATGCACAAGAGGTTGGTGAGTGGGGAGTGCTGAGGGCTGAAGCCAGAACCCAGTGAAGGTTCTGGCTTCCTGCTCAGTCATGGACTCCTAAGGTCTGGGCATCTGGTGGCTCCAGAAGGCATTAGTCCTTAGGGGTGGATGACAATCTGGTGAACTTTCAGATGAAAGGCCTGCTGTTTGGATCTGGACATTGGACAGTCCAGGTCACAGTGGGCCTCCCTTGCATTCTCCCTGGCTTCTTGCATGGCTTCCCCTCCCACTTGGGCCTCTAGTGTTCTCCCTGGCCTCTAATCATGGCCAAGGCCTCTCTCTTCTCCCAGATCCCCTTATCTCTCCCTGATAGGAATGTTGCAGCCTCCCTCTGTGCCAGATCACCACCCCATTTCCCAACACAGACCTTCCCCTGCTAGGTCTATAGCAAATATCCCAATTGGTCAAGGCTTTTGGGTGGGGGAGGGCCTGAACTGCAGGCAAGCAGGCCTGCAAGCTGGGAAGTTCCTCCCTCAGCCCCTTCTTTGAGCTGCTGCGTCAGCAGCTTTTCCAAGTCTGACAGAGGTGCTGGGGGAGGGGTGGGGTGCCAGGCCTGAGAACAGATGGCCCTGCCTCCTCGGGAAGAATTATCAGTAGTTGGGATAGGGTGGGTTAACAGGAATTTTTCTGTCTCCTTGGTGTTTTTGTTCATATAAACGCAACCCTTTTTTGGAGCTGCACTTTCAGAGGTGCCCTGCCCCTCAACTCCCTGCCCCTGGGCTCCCTGCAGTTTTTCTGGCCTGTCTGCTCCAGTCTCATAGCTGCCTCAGGGTTTTGGGGCCACTGTTACTTTCTTCACTTCACCTCTGGATCTCACTCACTCCAGGCCCTCCTAGTGTGATTTGTGGCTCAATCAAGTCCTCTCACTTTCTCACCATTCCTCTTTCTCTTTCTTATGAGAAAGGCACTGTTCACAGTGGAAACATAAAGAGAAGATGTTCCAGGTAATACTGTCTTCATTACACTGAAAGAGCAGAGATTAGGTTTGACTTGCTGCCAAGTTTTAAAAGGCAAAACAGACAGGTATGGTGGAGTTTCAGATTAGGTGTCAAGATCAGACTCCCTGCTTTTCATTTACTTTTCCCTTGAACCTCATTCATCAGCTACTAAACAGAAAATTATAATGTCTACCACATGAAAGTGTTGTTAAAATCGGCTGAAATAATGTGTGTGTAAATACTTTTGCAAAATGTGTAGAGCTGTAGTGTATAAATATCAGTTGCTGCTGTATCCATCTGTATAGCTTTGAGCAAGTTCCTTTCTCTTTCGGAGTTCTTGTTTATAAATCAAGGGGTGTGAATGAAATGCTTTAAGGGCCAGGGATCTGATACATGTATAACAATGTCTTGTGGTTTCCATATGGAGTTGGTGTGACTGACTCCAGTCCCAGCTGTAGGGACAGAGTGGCCTGTACACAGGCCAGCTGGCAGAGAAGAATCAGTGACAGCAGAGATTATAGGAATGGAATTGGGAGAGTAGGAATGGAGTGGGGGCCTGAGGGGAGAAGAGATTGAGATGTATACAGGCTCATCTCTGTAGAAGGACTTACGCATATTACTATGTTATATGAAGGTAGTTTTCCAGGAAAAGATCTATAGAACTCAAGTGTCTCTAAACTGTTTTGTTATGGTAGGAATCACATTTACAGGAAGCATAAGCAAACCTGAAAGGCTGGTCTCTGAGGTGAAATCTACAAGTGGAAAGAAAGGTTTTAGTAATGATCCCAATAACCCAGCTATAAGCCATCACCAGTTCTTTTGCCTTTTTGGCAATGACAGGGTTGGGCAGCAAAGAGAAGAGTGGCATATTGATATCTCCCTTTGGGGACAATAGAGGGAGGTCATGAGCAGCCCAAGGGTAGTGGCAGTGGAAGAAAGTGACTCCTGGAGCCATGGGACTAGGTGTGGCTTACTGCCACGTGCTTTATCTGCCAAATGGAAGCTGATATGTGTTTTCTACACACTGCCCTGAACCATGTGATGGAAGTTGGCTAAGAGGCAGTGGTTTGCAGGAGCTGGCTTCTACTAGGCCAGACCATTGTTAAAATTGCAGGGATTTTGCAATCCAGTGGAGTTCCATCAGTACCTTCAAATTGGACACAGTAGTCGTAGTATCAAAATTGCAGAAATTGGCAGATGTTGAAGACTCATCAACAACCTATGTTATGTAGATAACATAATCTTGCTTGCTGAAACTGAAGAGGACCTGAAGAGCTTGCTGAAGAAGGTCAGGGTCTGGAGTCTTCAATATGAATTGAAGCTCAACATCAACAAGACAAAGATTCTCACCACTGTGCCAGTCAGCAGCTTCATGATAGATGGAGAAGAAATTGAGGTTGTTAACAATCACAACTTGCTTGGCTCCACAGCCAACACTCTTAGTACCAGCAGTCAGGAAATCAAAAGGCGAATTACATTGGGAAAATCTACTGTCAGGAACCTCTCCAGAGTACTGAAAACCAATGATGTGAGTCTAGAGACTAAGATGTGCCTAATCCAAACCATGGTATTTGCAATTACTTGTTATGCATCAGAGAATTAGACAATGACTAAGGATGACAGAAGAAGAATTGATGTCTTCAAAATGTGGCCCTGGAGAAGAGTCTTGAACAAACCATTAACTGCCAAATAGGTCTGTCTTGGAGAGGGTGAAACCAAGTTTCTCATTGGAGGCTAGAATTTTTAAGCTCTTACTCATATACTTTGGGCCAGAAGAGATCAGTCCTTGGAGAAGGACATCATGCTCGGAAGGGTGTAGGGACAGAGCAGGAGAGGAAGACTCTGGTTGAAATGGGTTGATAGTAACTGAGGCACTGGGGGTTGGTGTGTCAGAATTAGTGAGACTGGCTCAGGACAGGGAAGGGCTCAGAGCTGCTGTACATAAGGTCGCTAGGGTCGCAGGTGCTTTGATGGCACATAATGACAACAACGACAAAGATAAGCAGCCCCCTCCCAAACTCAACCTGTTATTTAACATGGCTCAATGCATTGTTGATTATTGGAGTCTAATCCTTTTTTTAAAAGAATTAATTTTTATTTTCTCAAAATAATGTTGTTGTTGTTGTTGTTATGTGCCGTCGAATCACTTGCGACTCATAGCGAGCCTGTGTACAACAGCCCTAAACTCTGCTCTGTCCTGTGCCAATCGCACTGTCTCTGACACTCCCATCCAGATTACCCCAGTCACTGAATCAATCCACCTCATAGAGGGCCTTCCCCTCCTGCACTGTCCCTCCACCGTCCCAAGCATGATATCCCTCTCCAAGGACAGATCTCTCCTTATAACATGTCCAAAGTATGTTAGACGGAGCCTCAGAATCCTTGCCTCCAAGGAGCCGCCCAGTTTAACTCTTTCCAGGATCAATCTGTTTGCTTTCCTAGCACTCCATGGTACCCTCAACACTCTTCTCCAGCACCACAGTTCAAAGGCATCAGTTCTCCTTCTATCCTCCTTAGTCATTGTCCAATTCTCTGATGCATAACAAGTGATAGCAAAGACGCACCATGGTCTCCAGAGAGACACCATTGCTCTTCAGTATTTTGGAGAGGTCCCTAACAACTGACTTTCCCATGGCAATACGTTTTTTTTTTTATTTCCTGGCTACTGGTGTCAAGAGTGTTGACTGTGGAACCAAGCAAACTAAAGCTGTGAACAATCTCAATCTCTTCACCATCCATCCTGATGCTGCCAATTGGTCCAGTGGTGAGAATCTTTGTTTTCTTGACATTGAGCCTCAATCCATATTGTAGGCTGTGGTCCTTGACCCTCTACAGCAAGAGCTTTAGGTCCTCCTCAGTTTCAGCACATAGGGTTGTGTCATCCGCATAACGCAGATTGTTGATAGATCTTCCACCAATTTTGACCCTACATTCCTCCTCATAGAGCCCAGCCTTCCGGATAATCTGTTCTGCATGCAGATTGAAAAGGTATGGAGACAGGACATATCCCTGGCATATGCCCTTCCCAATTTTGAACCATGCAGTGTTTCCTTGCTCTGTTCTGACGAAGTACAGGTTTCGCATTAGAACGATCAAGTGTTCTGGGATTCCCATTCTTCTCAGAGTCAACCATAGTTTGTTATGATCCACACAAACGCCTTTGCATAGTCAATGAAACACAGATAGACATTCCTCTGGTACTCCCTGCTTTCAGTAAGATCCATCTAACATTAGGTACCATATCCCTAGTACCACGACCCCTTCTAAACCCAGCCTGGACTTCTGGCAGTTCTCTGCTGATGTGCTGTTCCAGTCGTTTTTGGATAATCTTCAGTAGAATCTTGCTTGCATA